ATGCAAAAAAAAAAAAAAAAAAAAAAAAAAAAAAAAAAAAAATCACAAAAAGGAACATCAGTACAGAATCACTCTATTCTGAATTTGTGGCTTCAATCAATTCCATTAAGTCCAAACAGTATGGAGCTACATAAATACCTTGTTTTACTGGAGCAGGCCGCAACACCAAAGCAAACAGTACAACCAGAAGTGAGTTCATTGAACTGCTCTGTACCTGAACTCTTTAAATATTTCAGACAAGTTTGGTATGTCTTTGGAAAGCAGTGGGCATGCCCAATGACCCTAATGGCTATGTTAAAAACAAAAACACATAAAGGGAAATAAAAAGATTTTTTAAGCAACTAAATAAGGAAGTGATAAGTGTATATGAATTTAAAAAAGATTGTTTTCCACTTATGTGTCTGAACCTACAGAAATGGGAAGCACTTGCCTGATACCGTGTATATTTTTGATTGCGTAGCTAATTTCTCTCCGCAGTTCTTTCTCGTTGAATTCCATCTAGAAGAAAATTGAGATCATATTTAATGAATGGACATTTAAAGAAAAACTAGCAAATATTAAAGTTGTGAAACAGAGCTGAACAACATGAAAACTCAACTTGCTAAACAAACTTAGCAGGCCACTGATATACCCGTTTGTAACTATTGCAAAAGAAAGTGAAGTCTTTATACACAGTAATTTTAGAAGTTCAAAGCTGTGGAGGCAAAAACAATTGTTGAAAGTGAGACATACTGAACAACCTTTTCCATTCCAAACAAACTGCTGGCTGAAATAATTCTGCAGAGCATCCTATTAGAGAACCAGACAAATCCAGATCTACAACATTTGGGAAGAGCTACTTTAACAGAAGTGTACTCTATCTTTAAAAAAAAATATTCTGTTACTCCATTCTCTTTACAACTTATCTGCAGGCTTGCAGAAGTGTGGGGGCTGGTGACTGAAGCAGAACAAAAAACAGTTTTCCAAAACTTATTTCTTCCCTCCTATGAAAATTTGGGGAGGGAAGATTGCTGGTTTTCCACTCTAAATGAAAGTAGCAAAACCTCCCAAAACATAGTTAATTTCCACAGCTCTAGTCTTAAAAGATTCACTTAGGTAGTAGCCTCTTGAACATGAGAAACAGAGTCATATCAGTTGCTGTTGTTTACCTGCTCAACCTATCCAGAAGGAGGGTGCTAGAGAGAAGACAACTGCGGAAGAACCATGGGAAAAATAGGGAACATGGTAAAAACCAAGACAGAAGACAGACACAAAAACTAATTTGGACATTTTGCCAAGTAGATAGAGAAATGCAGGATCCTAGATGTAAAAATTCAATTCCATCAAAACTAATTGTGCAAGGTACGTGAGAGAAGAGAAAATACGTCTATCCAAATTTGGCTACTGGGGGGAGGGGGAGAACAGCTGCACACCTGAAAACATGAAGTTACCATTATTACAAAGTGAGATTCATTACAAATTTGAGAACATACTTCAAATTAAATTGAGCTATAAAGTGAGCAAACAGGAAATATTCGTTGCTAGAGACAAAGTGAACATTGTGCTCTGAGCCATTTTAAAATTATTTTAGCATTATGAATAAGTTTTGAAAATTACATGGTACTGAAATTGCTTCTCAGTGTTCAGAACCTGAAATAAAAACATTTTTCTTCTGTGGGCTAGTGACAGTCTTCCTTTTGTGTAATGGGCTCCTTTTGATTAAGGGTTTTCCTGTTAAAGTACCCTCTTCAAATGAAATGGAAATTCCCCTTGTCACTGTTAATATGCACATGAAAACCAAGTAGCAGAATTGAAAAGGAGGAGGAAAGACATACACATACCTTTACTAGTTCAAAAGGAAAACGCTCATGGAAAATGCGATTGATTTTGGCACCACCAGACAGTTCTAAGGTGTCAACCTGGTCCCCTGATCCTTCAATTCTTTTTTCAAAGTCCACTGAAAACTGTTGAACCATCCTGAAATTTTTTAATCAAACAAATGCAAAATGCTTACACTAAAGTTTTTTATTTCAGTATTATGCCATTGTATCTATGCCCAATGAATGATTTTTCTGCAGTTAACAGCAATATCTATATGTATATTCCTCCCCTCCGATAGGACAGCTACAAGTATAAGTATAAATATATAATCTCTTAAAATTAAGTTTAAAACAACTGGTATTGTATGTTTGGCAAAATATACACAACAGGTTACCAACAACTACATTATTCCTGTTTTTATCCCTATTACAGATGTGTATAAAGTGATAGACCTTTCCAAAATTTCTTTGCAACAGGATAAGTAAATATTGTGATTCTCAGAGCAAATGGCATTAGACAAACAGAAGTTTAACAGTTCTCCAGAGTTCAAAATCCTTCATAATTAAAGGATCTAATTAAAGGAAAAGATGAGTGGTGAAAACCTAGAAATAATTCTTCCATTTTAAACAGAGATTTTTCTCGTACAGAAGTTACAAATCTCCAGAAGGATTTTTTCCAAGTCCTTGGGAGCTCTCAGACAGTTCAGCAGTGTAACATGAATCAGACTGCCAAAATTTAGACCTTTTGCTAGAAGATTTAGAAGACATTTGGTAGATGAACCTTCCTGTGCCAATACTAGGCAGTCCAAAAATGAGTACTGAGGAATCCAGGTGGAAGCTATCAGTCTGACATGTTCCAATTTGCCTAAATTTCCTTAGACTTAGCCAACAGAAGTATTTGGTTGGGGGGTTTTTTTGTTTGTTTGCTTGTTTTTTTGGGGGGGGG